CAATTAGTGCAAACTTGTGTCTTGTCGTTGTTATATATTGCATATAAATAAATATGGACACGTATATAAGAGATTTTAAAGTACAAAAAGTTAAAACTGCAGTACTTGCAAACTTGACAAATGCTGAACATTTTCTTAGAACAAAATCAGAACCCGAACTGAAGGTGCTTCACATTAATATCAGGAGCATTCAAAAAAATATCAATGAACTATGTGCTCTCCTTCAAATGTTAGACTATTGTTTTGACATATTGATACTAAGTGAAACGTTTACAGTAAATGATACGAACCTTATAGAAATACCCAATTATAACCTATTTTACAACGAAGGGAAGGTTAACAAAAACGATGGAGTTCTGGTTTATACTAAGAAATGTTATAGCACATATTTTGAAATAATTGACATCCATGAAACAAAAGCTTTGAAAGTAATTGTCGAATTCAGGAACAGAAAAGTACAAATAATAGGTATATACAAATCACCATCCATTGAGATACCGTTATTCAATAGTAGACTGAACGATTTTCTGCAATCAAATGAAACAGTTGATGTCAATTTATTGATCGGAGACTTGAACATAGACATTATGGACGGAAATAATCCACACTCCTATGAGTACCTTAACATTATGGCCGAACATAACTATTTGTCAGCTATAAACGGCTACACACGAGTGGAGAGGAGTAGTGCAACATGCCTGGATCATATTTTCGTAAATTCACCTTTTTTATCATCTGACTGTATTTCTTCGGCTATATTGCATTATAACATTACAGACCATTTTCCCACAATACTAAAATTGTCTATAAAAGACAATAAAGAATTTAAACAAAAAGCAACGAAAAAATACAGGACATATATAAACTACAAAAAGCTGAATGAAGCCTTAAGTACCGAAAACTGGTATGATGTGTACAATGAAGAGCATCCAGGCAAAGCATTTAATGTTTTTGTAAAACTTCTAGGAAAATACATAGACAGTAACTCCAAAACAATTGAGATAAATCGTAACAAGATAAAGAGACAGCCATGGATTACTAATGGGATTGTAAATTCAATTAATAAAAAAAACCAACTGTATAAGGCTACAAAAAATCATCCTGAAAACGCTCAGTTACTAAACGACTTTAAAACGTATCGCAATAAGCTAACCAAAGTCATTAACATGGCAAAAACAAACTTTCTCAAAAACAATATATACAAAAACAAAGACAGCCCAACAAAAATGTGGCAGTTCGTAAACAAATACAATAAAATAAAGCCAGTACATATACATCGTGTAGAAAGTCAGACGACACATAAACTCACAATAAATGATAAAGATACAGCGAATGAATTTTGTAAGTATTTTTCAGAAGTAGGGGAAATACTGGCAAAAAATATAACGCATCATGAAAAATTTGAAAGAACGCGAATACAAAATTCAATTTATCTGGCACCAACTGATCCGCTTGAAGTAAATAATATTATTTGCCAACTAAAGCTAAATAAATCGCCAGGCCTTGACGGTATAACATCATACACGCTCAAACAAATCAGTAACAACATTTTAAGTGTCTTATCGTACCTCATCAATACTTGCATAGACAAAGCTATATTCCCTGATGCACTAAAAACAGCACTAGTAAAGCCACTACACAAATCTGGAGAAAAGACACAAATTTCCAATTATAGACCAATCTCACTACTAAGCATTTTCTCAAAGATTTTTGAAAAAGTTTTGAAGGCCCGTTTTACTAATTTTATTGCTAAATATAGACTTCTATCTAAGCAGCAATATAGTTTCCAAGAAGGAAAATCCACACAAGATGCAATTGCAGTTTTGATGGAAAACGTGTATACCAGTCTAGACTTAGGAAACCCATCGGCCTGTGTCTTTATAGATTTAAAGAAGGCATTTGATACAGTTGAACACAAAGAATTACTAACTACTTTGGAGAATCTAGGATTTCGTGGCAAAACACATACTTTACTCAAAAGCTACCTTTCAGATAGGAATCAATGTGTAAAAGTTAATAATTCCATCAGCGACTTGCATCATGTAACATACGGTATCCCACAAGGTACAGTCTTAGGACCTATCCTGTTCAACCTATATGTAAATGATCTTTTTAACCTACACACACACGGTAAAATTATCGGGTTCGCAGATGATACGGCTGTTTTTTATAGCGAAAAATCTTGGGATTTCTTAAAGACTCTTATTGAAGAGGATTTCAGAGTCATTATAAGCTTCTTCAATAATAAAATATTAACAATCAATTATCAAAAAACTTTATAACTGACTTTTTCATGTGATGATAGGAACAGTCCGACATTCACTAACATACACATCAAATTACCACCCATAGATGAAGTAGTGGTCCTAAAGCCAGCAAATCATATAAAATACCTAGGAATCATAATAGACAGCCACCTAAAATGGGACAAACAAATAGAAAGCTTAACGAAGAGATTAAGATGTCTTATACCAAAATTTAAATTTTTTAGGGAAATTCTTTCTGATAAAGACTTATGCACCATATACAAAACGTTAGTACAACCGTTGTTAACTTATGGAATTTTGGCATGGGGACCGGTGATGAATAAATACTACAGGAAACTAGAAATAACTCAGAAATGGATTCTTAAAATCATGTTCCGCAAAACTAACACCTATCCAACCGATATGATATATAAGGTATCCAAGATATGTGATTGTAGGCAACTCTATTTTGAGAGTGTGTTCACATATATTACAAAACATAAGCATTTATTAAATTTCCTCCCACATGACCATCACACCAGATCCAAAGATCATTCAGTACGCATACCAAAGCCTAAAAAGACCATAGGTCAGAGGAGTTTCACTTTCCTAGGACCAAAAATATATAACTTAATCCCCCCTCAGATAAAAGATATTAAAAATACAGAGGTTATGAAAAGGCATCTACGACTGTGGATTTTGGACCAGCACAGACTCAAGATTCATCAAGCGATTGATATCAAAAATATCTACTACTACTGAAAGCGGAAATCTCTCTAGATATTTGAAAGTTCAAAATGAAAAAAAAAAAATGTATAAATCAAACTGATTTGAATTCTTACCCCCTGAATTATTGCATTTTATGACTTATTTTTACCAATTTTTGTTCTTGTCTATTCACCTAATATTGCCCTTTGTTTCAATGTTGTCTCTATCCCGATTGCGTCTAGTCCCGATTTTGCGTCTCCGTCCCGATTGTGTCTTTTTAAAAATTTTACCAGGACTTGTCTAATGAATTTTATATACATATATTTTTTATTTTTTTTTTTAGTCTTAAGTTATTTATACATGAGCTCATGCCCAAGCACAAGTTTCTGCGAAACTTTTTTGGGTCCATTCGTTTATTGTATAATATTGTCTTTCATCTACTACTGCTATACTTTTTCTTTTGCAATAAACTTTTATTTATTTATATTATATTTATATTATATTTACACGGAAGCAGCCGTGCAGGCGAATCCTACACTCCGTGACTACTATGAGAATTCCAAAGAAACTTTGTTAATCCGATTTTTGAACTACCTAAGGTTAATAGAACTGGGAAAAGCTTCCTCTTGTAGATTGTTCCACAATCTCGACACCCTCGGGACAAAGGAGCGGTCGTATCGGTCAGTTCTGGATGTAAGAAGTTCGACACGGCTAGGATGGAAGGCCAAAGTCAAGCAGGTCTGTCTGGCAGGCACTTCGCGCTCTGAGGAGCGAAGCTTGTTGGTGTGGTGGTAGAAGAGACTTAGATCACCAACGGCCCGCCGGTGCGAAGTGTCTGAGCCAAGACCCAGGAGAACACCCGCGCTGACGTTGTAGAATGAAGAGGAGAACCCGTCAATTACGACGGATATCTTGCGGCCAGAGAGAAAGTCAGCCACCCATCTGCAAAGCTTCTGTGGGAGGCCATAGGATGAAAGTTTGCATAAGAGGGCAGCGTGCCACAGCTGATCGAGCGCTTTCATGATATCAAGAGCAACGACATGATCCATAAGACTGGATGAGTTGACTCCACAATTGCGTGACGTAAGCTAGGAGGTCCCTGTGGATCGCTGGTGCCGGAAACCATACTGCTTGTTGCTAATCAAGCCGTTAAGGTAGTCTAGAAGCTCGCGATTCATGCACCTCTCCATCACCTTACTTATAACAGACAGCAGAGCTATAGGTCTGTAGTTGTAAAGGTTGCTCTTAGATCTCTTTTTTGAGATGGGTTGGATATGGGCAAATTTCTAGTTTTCTCGGATATGATGTGTTTATTGCAAAAAAGGTTCGGAGTCCTAACAGATTCCAATTAGTTTAAGATGTGTCCTCGGTGGCTATTATATGTCCCTGCAAGTTTCTGGAATACTTCAGACAGACTATAATAAGGTCCGATATTTTGATTCCTCATGACAGGAATTTAACTGGATGTGACCACGCATTACTTCACTTTGCTAAGAAGTCCGGTATTGGTGCCTTACTACAAAAGATCTGACGAATGACCTATGCACCGGCGACTCTTGGTTTATCTCTTGGTGCCTCTACTTTCGTCTCCTTTATGCAATCATTGACTGTCGTAACCTACCTAAGGATAGCCACCTCCGCACTAATTGGAAGGGGCTAGTGTCTCATAGATGGCGCTGTAGCGTATGTTGGCATATAACATATAATCGGCTACAGCGCCATCTTTGAAACACTAACATTTCCAAATTAGATTTATAATTGGTGCACAGAGGAGAAGAAACGTAGCTGTGACAAATTCTCATAGATCACGCTACGGTATCTCAATTCATCGGCATCCCTAAGAAGTTCTTCAATACTACATCTACAGGCGGACTATATTGGAATTAAAAATTTTGTATAATCGGAACGACATGTTGAAGAGATGCGACCTCAGGCCCCCTTGGAGCACTGCAAAATCTTGGTCACTAGATTGCCATGTTTTTTTATTAATTCATACTCGTTAGGCTCTAAAGATTGTAGGTATTAAGATATTTTGTTTTGTTTCAGAACTATGCTGCCACCCAATAAGTCTATCATCCGCGCATAATACATTCATCCACCACGCCGTACTCTGTCATGGAACGCCTCGAGTCCTTGTCTGGCGACCCCGCCTTGTGCCTGCAGGATCTCGTAACAGGCGTTTCATCAGCTCACAGTAAGTTTGTTTCTCGTTTTTTGACGTTTTAGGGGACCTTGAACATTTTTGAAAAAAATTAGGGGATATAATTGGTTGGTGAGGGTTGATGGCGGTTGTATCGCGATTATTTTGGCGGCAGTATATTTCTCCAGCCCCATATGCCTAATAGGTGTAGGCATAGGCTCATGAGTACACATATATTACACCGTACATTCACCCTAAATACTTAGAGTGATGAAAGTATTTTGGTATAAGCACTAGCCACTGCTCGCTCCTGGGCGAATGTCCACGCGACGAATTTTTACCTGAACAGCTGAGAAGAGGTGAAGGATGCCTCCAGGATCTAAAAATTGCGGCTTCCACCATCGTTGCTGTGGTTATTCAGGTGTGAAATAACGAACAGACGTTCATCAGCCTTCTGCGAATATGAAGATATTTTTGAAGCGAATGTTACCAGAACGTATGAAAGTTATCTTAGATTATTTGAAAAAAATATATAAATTCAATACCTTTTTCTCTCATTATATTTATTATATTACAAGACCAACAGTAAGGGTTTCCATAACTGACTAACAGTAAATCTACCAGAACGTAAAAAAGTTGATTTCATAATTTCAATTTTCCAAATCAACTCAACAACGATAAAGATACCAGAAAATATGGATTCTCTTATATCATAGGCGGACAAAAATCAAATGAGGAGAACATTCTTTATAAAAATTGAATTGTTCATGTTCATGGTTCTCCACAAGCTGAAATAAAACTTTTGACACATCCACGTTGTCTAGAAGTTTCTAAAAAATTGCACATTAACATTACTTTTTTCTCTTGACGTCTGGCGTCTGACGTCTCCGCTCTCAATTTCTTGAAATCATACCGCTTTCCATGTCTTTACTATTACCGTTAAAGGATATAAATAAGTTAACAATTTGTTGTTCCTTATTCGATGAGTTTTGACCTACTATATGAAATTTACTTTTTTAGACGCTTGAAGTCTTTTATCAATCCATGACGTGCTATCATCTTTGCTATTCTATGAAGTAAATGGTTATATGCTAGTTAATTCCAAGGCTGACTCAGGAACATTGGTTTTACCATATTAATGTATATCATCGATATTTTGAATCAAAATTAAAAACTATTCTCCTATGCAAAAAAGGTATACGTAAGACAAATTTGATGACGGTGGGTAATAGAGGAAAAGTCAAATTAATATAAGTACTAATTATGTCACCTCGTGGCGGTCGGAAAGTGGCAGTTGTTAATGTGAAGTTTATTCTGAAATCGCACCTCAAATAAATTCTGAAAAAAAATAGAAACAAATTTGAGAAATTTTATCCGTGTATTTCTGAAGATACTCCAAGTGTCTAAACTTTTTACATGCATATTCTAAAATGTATAAATACGTAGCTTTACTCCTATTTAACCGATCCGTGTCAATTACCGTTTCAGAGTTTACAATGGTGAACATATGACGAATTTCTTATTCAAATTACTTTGGATCAAACTAGGTACAAAAAATGGATCAAAGAATTTGTATTAAATTTTGTGTGAAAAACAACTTGAAGTGCGCGTACAGATGTTGACTGTTGCATACGGCGAAGCTACTTTGGACAAAAGCAACGCTTATCGGTGGTACAAAATGTTCCCAGAGGGCCGAGAAGATGTGAGCGACGAAAAGCGTCCCGAGCACGTCAACAGCAGATGAAAACATTGATGATTTCTTGCCCCAGGGTAGAACGATCAATAAAGAATATTACCTTCATGTAAGCGCAATTTTCGAGAAGCAATCCGCCAGAAACGCCCGGATTTGTGGAAGAACAAAAATTGGCTTTTGCACCATGATAACGCCCCTGCTCATGCATCGTTACTTGTGAGCGAATTTCTGGCCAAAAACAATACTCCAATAATGCCTCACCCACCGTATTCCCCAGACCTGGCCCCCTGTGACTTTTCCGAAAATTTTTCAAAATGCTTCGAGGATTGGAAAAAACGTTCTCAGAAGTATACAAAGTCTGATGTGGATTTCTTTGAAGGGGACAAAATAGATATTCATGAACAAATAAATAATTCTTCTCGGTTTGCTAAGCAACGATGTGCTTCTATCTCTTTCTAACTCACGTATTGCACCATTCTCGCACTTATGTCTCGTACTCATTACGACGTCAGATTTGGTTTTCAGTGTAGACTTCTACATATTGTATAAAACAGACTGTATGCTCAAGTTTCAAGTAATTATAGAGAAATATCGACCAAGAGATATTATAATGTGTTATTTCCTCGGGCATATCAAAACTTCTTTCTTTGAAGTGGCATATTAGAATATACCAAAATTTGTAGAGTGCTCCATTTAAGAAATGTATGTTCCCATATAAATTCTCATATCATTGTGAATGACTCTGTATAAAAAAGACAACGAAATCCAAAAAGAGAGAAAAATGTCTAGCATAGTAAAGTAGATACGCTTTGTGGAACCTTCACCAAAATTTTTTTAGAGCTTCTCCCCTTCCGTTTTGAGCTTGGTATGCCCTTCCTGCACATAATGTATATACAAAGTCCATCTGTCCAGAATTGCGTGTTAAATACAAAGCCAACCTACTTGAAACCATTTTTTACGGTCAATATAAAACTGAAAAAGAAAGAAAGTGGGACTACTGAAAATTGATTTGCCTCCTTTTCAGCCGTCTCATCAGCTTCTGACCTCCAACAACAGCTCCACGCCGCCTCCGTATCAGTGTCGTCCGCGTTGGGCATTATGGGCGGCGGGGGCAGCCCCGTCAGCGTACTGGGCCATCACCACATGGCTACCCATGAAGGCGGCTCCCATCACCATCACGGCGTCATCCCGCATGCTCCTACAACGCCTCTGCACCATGAGCCCCTGGAGAAGCTGAAACGTGGTGAGTCGGGTCCAAAATGAAATGTGTTGCTTTCCTCAGAAATAAGTTCCTGACTCAGCATGGGCGTGCGCAGGAATTTTTCACAGGGGGGCAATCATTGGCAAGAGGAAACTTTTTGAGGAGCGAGGCGTATCAACTTTTCTCATGGGTGGCCAAGTCCGGATAAATTCTGATATTCTACACAAAACCATGCTAAATATTCAAATTTTAAGGGTTTACAGCAATAATAAACAATTGGGGGCTTATCTATGTTTTGTCATCGTTGCCTGAAGCTGATACGTTGCCGTGATTATCGCATATTTTAAAAATATTCAGGGTGTTGATTTCTTGCCCCTGCATTCCCTCTTGCAAGTATCCACGTGACACTCTCAACCTTTCCGCTAACATACCAGTAAAATCTGATCCTAAAGCTACACAACTTTCAACCGGAAGTTTATTCATGGTTAACTCCGTTACACATACATTATGATGCATACCTAAGACAGCTTTTCACATATCTACGTATGATTGCTACAGTCAAAATCACGAAAGATAACTATTACGTCATACCATAAATTGTACTGAAGTAATCAATGGATGTATGTCGAGGAACATATATTATGATAACGAATTTATATTATGATTTTGCGAAGTTATGTTATTTTACTGATTATTTTTATTTTCATTTTATTTCATGGTTTTAATAATAATTTTAACGGGTAGTTTTTGTTTTGAAAAAACAGTTATGAGTAGAATACACCCTTAGGCAGGAACACCAAAGACCAGAGTATTATTCGAAAACAACCTGCTTTAACATAACCTAACTATTCATCTTTCAAATATATTCGATCGTGCAACATGAAAACATCATCTATCTTTGTCGGATACATGCAAATTAGCAATACAGTTTGTTTAGACAATAAAATTGTTTGTCTCTGTATAACATTTCTGAAACCTCATTAAAAATATAGACAAATCGCTGTAGTTTGTCTTTATTACAGACTAAAATGATGACGTAATCGTCATCTTTCATGATTTCGACTATATTAGAGCAATTCCACGCGTCATGGACTGACAATCACACGACATTTCCCTTTACACGTATTTGAAAAAATTAGCTGCGCCATCTACGATGATGAGTGGCAACTATAGATATAGTGTACGGTGTAATCAGCAGATGTCAATCAAAGCGGGCATAAGTCCTTGTATAGGGCTTGTACGCCCCTGATGGCAAGAGAAGTTGCAATAACTTTATCTGCGATGAAGTTAGCACATTCTTCTCATCTATTTTTGAAGAATCACGAATTAGTTTTATTGGATTACTTAGTGTGAAGATTTGATTGATTGACAAAAATGTAAAATCGAAAATTTGACTGTTATGATCATTCACAGAATTCTCTGAAAAGAAAGGAAAAAATGAAGTTCTGGGAGACAAACAGGAATTTTCTTTATGCAAATAAAGGCTACCTAACGTCAAAAATCTTGTAAGTCACGACTAATCTAAAAATGTCACGGACTGACTGTGGTGGGTGGTTTATCCTTAACGCGAAAGCTGGTATCTGTGACTATTATTTTTTATCTGAATTGTGGTTATATCATTCGAAGACCATAAAAACACAAAAGAAAACATGTAAAATTAGTACATTTTTCTCATCTAGCTTTGAGGAATCACGGATTAGTTTTATTGGATTTCTTAGTGTGTAAATTTGTGGAAATACATGTTACTGACAAAATTGGAAAATCGAAAATTTGACTGCTACGATCATTCACAGAATCCTCTGAAAAGAACGGAAAAACTGAATTTCTGGGAAACAAACAGGAATTCTCTTTATGCAAATAAAGGCTATTTGTCGGCAAAATCCTGTAAGTCAGGAATGACCTAAAAATGTCACGGACTGACTTCTGTGGCAGGTGGTTTATCCTTGGCGCGAAAACTGGTATCTGTGACTGTTATTTTTTACCTGAATTGTGGTTATATCGTTCGAAGACAATAGAAACACAAACAAAACATGCAAAATGTTAATGGTAACTTAACGCTCTGCACCTGTTTTAGCTATGTTTGTTACACAAATCATGCGTTGTGCTCAAGAGCTGAAGTATATACTTGATTGCAAATACATCTTTTGTGCAACATAGAGACAGTAATTGTGCGTAAATGTCTTTGGAAGATGTGCAAATTAGTGTATTTCTATAAAGTTAATTAACTGTTCTTACTTGTTTGCAAAATCAAGTATATTGTTGTTTAACTGAAATATCTAATCACACTGAATCTACTTTATCATCAACTTTTGGTTCCAATATCCAACGAAAATGTGTCCATCATGATGGTAATGAATAAAAATTCGATAGGACATTCAAATGTTGGTTCATAATTCTTCTTGATCGTTAACAGTATTACGAGGGATGTCTTTTAAATTTTGCATATACGTAGTCGTGCCATAAGTTCTGTCCCATGATAATCTCATGATAAAAATGAAACAAGATAAGATATATTTATATGAAAGATATTATTTATTCGACAACATTTTTAGAATTCATAATCAAACAGTTTTATTCAAAATGTCCCCCCTTGGCCTTCACACACTGCTTCAATCTCGCGGGCCACTCATCTATCACTGCACGCACAGCTTCCAAAGGAATAGCTGCCGCTGATCGGATCAAATCCGCTTTCAGGGACTCGATATTACGGTGGGCTTTGGAGCAGGCCAACTGCTCTAGCAGGTCCCACAACTTGTAGTCTAAAGGTTTGAGGTCCGGACTCCCTGAGGGCCAATCTTCCGCAGCAATGAACTCTGGCACATTGCTTTCCAGCCAGCGCTGCGTACTCTTAGCCTTGTGAGCGGGGGCGGAATCCTGCTGGTAGACCCAGTGTTGGTTGGCAAACAATGTACCACTTAAAGGCTTGACGATAGGATCCAGTATGTCGCTCTGATAGTTTGCCGCTTTTGTTTTCACGCCCTGTTTACAGAAATGGAGCTGAGTGACCCCTTCGTAGGACACCCCCCACCAAACCATGACTGACGCAGGGTGGTGGCCTCTCTCAACTCTCGGAATGATCTCCGAAGCTTCCTGTGAACTCCTTGCATACACTTTGTCATTTTGTCGGTTGAATTTTTCTTCTATGGTGAAGATTTTCTCATCCGTGAACAAAATCTTTCGGAATCCCCCAGCTGCGTACCTCTCCAAGAGCTTCTTGGATCTTGTCGCCCTGATGTGTCGCAAGGTGGCCGTAAGTCGCTGGCCCGTACGTCTCCGGTAAGCCCCTAGCCCTAGGTCTTGTCTAATGATGCGCGACATCGTCCGGACAGGAATCTTCATTTCCCTGGATAGGATCTTCTGCTTCCGGAGTGGATTCCTTTGAATCCTGGCTTTTACGGCTTTGATGGCTGCTGGAGTCCTTACTTGACGAGGTCTTCCGCTTCTTGGCCTGTCATCAACAGAGGACGTCTCATTGTACCGCTGAATGGTCCTAGACACAAATTTACGCAATATTTGAAGGCCGCGTAAGAGTTCAAAAATCTGACTAGCACTGTGATTACACTTATATAAAGCTATCACTGCAATATGGTTCTCTGCCTTGCCCCACTTCAACGTTATGCTTCGAGAGATCAATACAAACTGAGGTATATGTAATTACCCGAAAAGCGCTTAATCAACTGACACCACAATGTAAACAATCGGACAAGTATTAACAGGTCTACACTTGTCTGAAAACGAGGGACAGAACTTATGGCATGACTACGTAGAAACATAGTAGGCCGCGCGGATCGAACGTCAGTATTGAATCTTAACCTCACTCTTTAGTAAAGTTAAATTCAAAGTTTCACAACAATACGTGCAGTGTTCTCACCACAGTGAATTTTTAAGTGTCACCAAGTCATTAGAAAAATGGAACTCAACCGAGAACATTTTCGCGCCATAATTTATTACAACTTTCAGAGACATTTATCGCAACAAGAATGGAGAATTCAAACGTGGACGGGTGAGTCTTAGCGACAATCCCAAGGTGGGTGCACCAAAAACAGCAGTCACCCAGGAAAACGTCGATGCTGTGCGCAAACTCATCATTGAAGATAGACATGTGACATATCGTGAGGTTGAGGCGTCCTTGATGATCTCGAAGACCTCAATTCAAAAAATGTTACATGAAGAATTAGGAATAAGAAAATTAGTTTCTCGTTGGATACCCCACCTGTTGACTGAAGAGCAGAAAGCAGCCAGGGTTAATTGGTGTTAAAAAACGCTTGACAGTTTCAATTACGGAAACTCAAAAAATGTGTACAGCATTGTTAGTGGTGATTAATCGTGGATTTACTTTTATGAACCAGAACGTAAACGACAGTCGGCTGTTTGGGTGTTCCAAGGTGAAGAAAGGCCAACAAAAGCGGGTCATATTGCAACAATTCCTCTTAATGAGCAAAGAACTGTTACTACGGTTTGGAATACCACCATTTGTTTGCCAAAAGTCATCATCGAGCTTCGAAAAATCAACCACGAAAGAAGAATCATCCTCCACCAAGACAATGCAAGCTCGCACACAGTCCAAAAAACAAGGCAGTATTTAACGGAAGAAAACGTGGAATTATTGGACCATTCTCCATATAGTCCCGATCTAAATCCTAACGATTTCTTTACTTTCCCGACAATTAAAAACAGACTGCGTGGTCAACGGTTCCAGTCACCAGAAGAAGCAGTTGACGCATTCAAAAATGCCGTTTTGGATCTGCCAGCAAACGAGTGGAATAAGTGCATCGAAAATTGGTTCGAGCACATGCAGATGTGTATTAATCTTCGAAAAAAAAAATAAAGTAATTTAAAACTACCTACCGTGTTGTTTTATTTCCATATGCAAAACTTAAAAGACATCCCTCGTACGCACGCAATAGTTTGGTAACTAGAGTCAAAGCAAATATAGAATACAGAAATAATTGAATACTACAATTAAATGAAAGTGCACGCTATAAACACAAAGAGCACTTACAGGGCCTCGGATTGATGTTGGGCCCCCAAATGAACAAATATCAAAGAAAACTCAAAAAAACGTCGGAGTGCCGCAGGACCCAAACTCCTGTGTCGTCAGGGCCCCTTACGAGTACTTGACTCAAGGTGAGCTTGAGTGTATGCAAAAATAGCAGGTTATCACCATAAA